CTCTCTGCGATCCTTTGCGCAGAGATCGTTTCTCTTAATATTCATCTTCTTCCTTTAGACCAAAAAAAAAAAAAAAAAGTTTTTGCTCATTCTAATTCACGAATCAGCTAAAATATGAGTCAAACTCAAGTTTCCTGAGAGCTATAAATATTTGCTCACCCCACCCTGCTGGGAAAAGTCCACAGTTAATGTTTCGCCACCAAGTGGCTCAAATCGGGAGGATTTCTTTGGTGTCCAGGGTAAAATGATCTGTGCCCTGAGAGGTTTTTAGGCCAACGGAACTGCTGCGTGTCCCGCGCTTCTGAAAAAAGAGGAAGGGGCGGGGGGAGGAGGGGGGAGCGGAGAATGCTTTAAAAAGCATTTTAGAACCATGTAAAATCCTGAAGGTGAAAATTATGGACATTTCTACGTGAAGAGGGAGTGGAGAAAGTAGTAGCACTGACATTTTCCATGAGTGTCAGGTTTTTTCTGTTTTGTTTTGTTTTTGGCATGTACATATGGGTCATTTGGCCTGGGCTGGGCTGACAAGAATATCAACAAGGGCTACTTTGTGAGCCACTTCGTAGGCCACAGAAACCATTTTACTGCCCAGCCAATGTTACGAAGTTTGCAGTGATAAGGGGGGGAAGGACTCCAGCCGGGCTCTCCAGTGTCAGAGACTCTGGGTTTGGGGTTCCAAAGTTGGAGGAACAGTTTTGGGGCTGACCCTGAGTTTTTGTAATTTTTTTAAACAATGTATTTTTTTCCTACCCAAAGCAATCTACAGATTCAAATGCATTCCTATCAAGAACATCAATGACATTCTTTACAGAAATAGAAAAAATAAATCCTAAAATTCATATGGAACCACAAAGACCCCAAATAACTAAAGTAATCCTGGGCAAAATCCACAGAGGTAGAGGTATTATGCTACCTGACTTCAAACTATACTACAAAATGATAGCTACCAAAATTGGCACTTAGATCAGTGGAACAGAATAGAGAACCCAGAAATAAATCCACGTATTTACTGGCAACGGATTTTCAACAAAGGTGTCCAGAACATACATTGGAGAAAGAACACTCTCTTCAATAATAATGCTGGGAAAACTGGATATCCATATGCTGAAGAATGGAACTAGACCCCTGTGTCTCACTGTGTCAACTCAAAATGTATTAGCGACATAAATGTAAGACCCTAAACTGTAAAACTACTAGAAGAAAACATAGGAAAAACGCTTTAGCAAAGATTTTATGGGTAAGACTACAAAAGCACAGGCAACAAAATTAAAAAAAAGATAAATAGGACTGTATCAAACTATTTAAGCTTCTGCACAGAAAAGGAAGCCATCAGCAGGGCGAAGTGGCAAGTTGTAGAATGGGAGAATGTATTTAGAAAGCATTCCCCTGACAAAGGATTAATATCTACAATATATAAGGGGCTTAACAGGAAGACACACCATGTAATTCCATTTAAAATGGGCATAGGATCTGAATAGACATTTCTCAAAAGAAGACATACAAATGGCAACCAGTTTATGAAAAAATGTTCAACATCATTAACCAGCAGCGAAACGTAAATCAAAGCCACAATGAGGTTTCTCACTCTAGTTAGAATAGTTATTAGATTATTATAAAAAGACAAAAATTACAAAGGCTGGTGAGTAAGCAGAGAAAAGGGAATACTTACACACTGTTGATAGAAATGTCAATTAGCAGAAACCTAAAACTAGAACTATTACCTGATCCAGACTATACCATGCCATATGATGACTGGGTACTTATCCAAAGGAAAGGACATCAGTATATCAAAGAGATGTCTGCACCCCCATGCTTATTGCAGCACTATTCCAGATATGGAATCATACTGAATTTCCATGAGCAGGTGAATGGATAAAGAAAATGCGGGCGGTGCCCATAGCTCAGTGGGTAGGGCACCAGCTGGTGGGTTCGAACCCAGCCTGGGCCTACTAAACAATGACAACAACAATAACAAAAGAGCTGGGCGTGGCGGGCGCCTGTAGTCCAAGCTACTTGGGAGGCTGAGACAAGAGAATCACTTAAGCCCAAGAGTTGGAGGTTGCTGAGAGCTGTGAGGGCATGGCGCTTTATCCAGGGTGACAGCTTGAGACTCTGTCTTACAAAAAATAAATAAATAAATAAATAAGGTATATATGTACACAGTGGAAGATATTCCCACACACAAACACACACACATGAAAATGAAATCCTGTCATTCATAGCAACATAGCCAAACCTGGAGGACATTGTGTTAAGTGAAGTAAGTCAGGCGCAGGAAGATAAATACTGCATGTTCTCACTCAGACTCGTCTGTGGACGCTAAAGCAAATCGAGCCCATGGAAGTATCTATACTTCTGTCTTATAGAAGTAGATAGAGTTATGGTTACTGCAGACTGGGAAGAGGGAGGGCGTGGAGGAGAGGGACAGGTTGTGAAAGGATGCAAAATTCTAGCTCGCTAGGACAAATGAGGTCTAGTGTCCTATTTTACTTCAGGGTAAATATAATTAATAATTTGTTGTTCTACAAGCTAGAAAAGAGAATGTTCCCAACACAAAGAAGTGATCAGTGTTTGAGGTGATGGATATGCAGTTACCCTCCTTTGATCATTAATGTTGTACACATAGAGGGACATATCACTCCGTACCCCATAAATATGTACAATTATTACACGTCAACTAAAATTAAAAGGAAAAAAGTTTTTATTTTTGAAATTTAAGATAAAAAAGTGCAAATGATCTATGATTTCACTAACCAGAAACAATAACTGTTAGCATTTTGGTGTTATGTGTTGATAGTTTTTTCTTCTATGCTTATTTTATTTTATTTTATTTTTTGAGACAGAGTCTCACTCTGTTGCCCTGGGTAGAATGTCATGGCATCATAGCTCACAGCAACTTCCAATTCTTGGGCTTGAGCAATCCTCCTGCCTCAGCCTCCCAAGTAGCTGAGATTATAGGTACCTGCCACAATGCACAACTAGTTTTTCTGTTTTTCTTAATAGAGATGGGGTCTTGTTCTTGCTTAGGCTGGTGTTGAACTCCTGAGCTAAAGTAATCCATCCTCCGTGGCTTCCCAGAGTGCTAGGATTTCAGGCATGAGGCATCATGCCCGGCCTCACATATTTTATTAAAACAAAAGGGAATCACTGTACTCAAGAGAATTGAAAACCTGCCCACACAAAACACCTGTAGGTGAATGTTCATAGCAGCATTAGTCACAATTGCAAAGTAGAAACAACCCAAATATGTTCCTCAATTGATGAACTGGTAAACCAAAAATCACATGTCCATTCAATGGGGTAGCATTTGACAATAAAAAGAAATGAAGTACTGATACGTGCCACCACATGTGTTTTCCAGATGAACCTGGAATACATGCTGAGAGAAGAAAGCTGGTCCCAATGATTGTACATGATTCTGTTGATGTCCAGAGTAAGCACATCTACAGAGACTGAAAGTAGATTAGTGGTTGGCAGGGGCTGGGGAGAGAGGGGAACTGGGGAGTGACTGCTAATGGATCTAGGGTTTCCTTCTGGGGTGATGAAATGCTCTGAAATTAGATAATTTGGTAATTGCACAATTCTGAATATACTAAAAATTACTGAATTGTAACTCCCTCCTTTTTTATCACCATGTTGCCCAGGCTGGAGTATAGTGGCTATTCACCGACGCCTTACAATACACTACAGGCTCTAACTCCTGGGCAAGAGATCCTCCTGTCTTGGGCTCCCAAAATGCTGGGATTATAGGCGTGGGCTATTGTGCCGGGGCTGTACATTTCTTAAAAGGTGAATTTGATGGTTTGTGGAACATGTGAGAATAACGTCGTATAAAACCAAAACAAATGCAATTACACTGTACCTAGTAATATATTACAAACAGTTCCCTATACTCCTAACAACCATTCTTCTGTAACATTTAAATGTTTTTAATTACCCACATTCCTTCTAAACAAAATTAAACGTCCCTTCCATCCTTCCCTTTCCCAGTCTCTTCAGACTCACAGGGGAGGAACTGGAACTCAGAGGAGATTCAAGACAGTGCACGCCAAGCCTGCCTTCACCTCTGGCCGGTCTCAACCTGAAAGAAACTCACTGCCATCTCCCATCAGCCTCCATTTTACTGAATGGGTCGGAAAGTAGGGGCAGGAAGGACTGGTGTCTGAGATGACAGCACAGGGACAACAGAAGTCATGTGAGTGAGAGTGTGATGCAAATGCTGTTGTCATATGCTTCCTGTAGGTGACCATGGACAAGACCAGGCTCCTTAGGAATGTCCTGGGATAAACAATCAAAGCAGTACAGACACTGAAGTATCTTCTTACTATTAAAAAAATGCATTCTTCCTAAGGGTGCAACCTAAGT